TCCTGACCTCAGCAGAGAGAACAGTCTGTTGTTGGGATGGCTGAGGTCCTTCACGATCTTCCTGGCCTTGGTCCAGCACCGCCTGCTGTAGACTGAGTGCAGGTCAGGGAGCTCGGAGCGGATGGTGCGCTCAGCTGACCGCACAACCCTCTCTAGAGCTCGTCTGTCCTGCATGGTGCTGTTCCCGAACCAGGTTAAGATGTTTCCCGCCAGGATGCTCTCTATGGTGCACGAGTAAAAGTTCCTGAGCACCTTGGAGGGCAGTTGGAAGTCTCTCAAGCGTCTGAGGTGGTAGAGACGCTGTCGGGCCTTTTTCACCACAGTGTTGATGTGACAGGACCATGACAGGTCCTGCGTGATGTGAACTCCGAGGTATTTGAAGCTGTCCACTCTCTCCACTGGGCACTCGTTGATGACGGGGGTCTGGTAGTTCCTCTCCTGCTTAGTGCTGAAGTCCACTATCAGCTCCTTTGTCTTACTGACGTTTAGAAGGAGGTTGTTCCTCTGGCACCAGTTCTCCAGATTCCTAATCTCCTTCAGGTAGGCCGTCTCGTTGTTATCAGAGATCAGGCCCACCACGACGGTGTCGTCAGCAAACTTGATGATGGTGGTGGAGCTGGTAGTGGCCACACAGTCATATGTGTACAAAGAGTACAGCAGGGGGCTCAGAACACACCCCTGGGGGGCTCCAGTGCTGAGAGTGGTGGAGGCTGAGACATGTCCGCCCATCCTTACTGCCTGTGGTCTGCCAGTTAGGAAGTTGGAGATCCACTGACACATAGATGAGCTGAGTCCCAGATGCTCCAGCTTGGTGGTGAGTGTGGAGGGAATTATGGTGTTAAATGCAGAGCTGTAGTCTATGAAGAGCATTTTAACATAATTCCCCCTTCTAGTGTCCAAGTGAGTGAGTGATGTGTGGAGGAGATGAGGAGATGAGAGATGGCATCGTCTGTGGAACGATTTGGACGGTAAGCGAACTGTAGTGGGTCCAGTGTGTCTGGTAGTGAAGAAATGATGAAGTCTCTGACCAGGCGTTCAAAGCACTTCATCACTACTGAGGTGAGGGCTACAGGGCGATAGTCATTGAGAGAAGCAGGGTGGGGTTTCTTCGGGACAGGAACAATGATGGACTCTTTGAAGCATGTGGGGATCACCGACTGAGATAAAGAGATGTTGAATATCTCAGTGAACACAGGAGCTAGCTGGTATGCGCAGTCTCTGAGGATACGACCTGGGATGCCGTCTGGTCCTGCTGCTTTCCTGGTGTTCACTCTCTTGAAGGCTCTCCTTACTTCATGCTCGGAGATGACGAGCACGTTTCCGGTGCTGGCAGTATCTTCCTGTCTGCAGCCGTTAGCGCCGCAAACACTAGCATTGTTGGAGACCTTAGCTGCAGCCTCAAAGCGAGCATAGAAAGTGTTCAGCTCGTCTGCCAGAGTCACGGCCGCGTTCGTCATACCGGTTGTTGGTGCTTTATAGTCCGTTATTGTCCTTAGTCCCCGCCACAGGCTCCTAGAGTCACTCTGTTGGAGTTGTGACTCTAGTTTCCTCCCGTAGCGCTGCTTCGCCTCTTTCACCGCCCTCCGCACGTTATATGACGCGGCTTTGTACGGGTCCATGTCCCCTGTCATGAGTCCCGTGTTGTAGGCAGCGGTGCGGGATCTCAGAGCGTCGCGGATGGTTTTATCCACCCACGGCTTCTGGTTGGGAAACGTTGTGATAGTCTTTGTCTCCACGGTATCATCCGCTAGTTTCCCGATGAATCCCACAACCGCTTCCGTAAACACGTTGACGTCATCGTCGGAGCTGTTTCTGAACATGCCCCAGTCTGCGTCATCGAGTGCGTCCTGTAACGCGGCCACCGATTGATCCGTCCAGCGCGCGACCTTCCTCTGAACCGGAACTTCCTGTTTCAGCCTTTGTTTGTATTTTGGCATGAGGAAGATGGCGGCGTGATCAGATTTGCCAAACGGGGGGCGGGATTGTGCCTTGTAGCCGTCCTTGACCGTAGTGTAGCAGTGGTCCAGTGTCCTTTCACCCCTGGTGGGGCAGGTGATGTGTTGATAAAAGTTCGGCGCTGCGCGTTTGAGGTTGGCGCTATTAAAGTCCCCCGTCACAATAAGCGCAGCGTCCCGGTGTTGTGTCTGGTGCTGTGTGAGTGCCTCATGCAGCTCGCATAAGGCGGTGACCGTGTCCGCTTGTGGTGGAATATAAACGGCACTTACAATGACCGATGTAAATTCCCGAGGTAGATAAAAAGGACGACACATGATGGACAGTAGTTCCAGATTTGGTGTGCAGGAGCGTGTGAGAGGAACAACGTTCGCACTGTTGCACCAGTTGTTGTTCACCATTAAACACACGCCGCCTCCCCTTGACTTCCCCGAGTCCCGTGTCCTGTCCATGCGGTGAACCGAGAAGAACTCGGCCGGCTGGATGGCGTGGTCCGGCACCGCTGGGTTCAGCCATGTCTCGGTGAAGCAGAGGAGATTGCAGTCCCGAATGTCTCTGGAACTTTATCCTGGCCCTGAGGTCGTCAAGCTTGTTCTCCAGTGACTGGACGTTGGCGAGCAGGATGCTAGGCAGAGGTGTGCGGTGTGCACGAGCTCTCAGCCTGTTCCTGACGCCGGCTCGCTTCCCTCTAGGCCGCCGCCGCTTCCCTTTGTTCTCCCTCGAGATCTCACTCGGCCAGCTCGGATCCGGAGTTAAAAACTTCGAATTGTGAGTACATTGTATACCAATAGAAACAAGAGTGTCACTGTCATACCTAATGTACCCAATGGTGATGATTTTGCCGATTTAGAAACGCTGAAAACTAACTTAAAAAGCAAAGACAAAGAAAAAGTGGTCGGAGCAGTCGTGACGGCAGCCGACCTCACCGGCGCCATCTTATATCTCGCTAAATATAGCGACAAATCCGCTAAGTTGGCAACACTGCAGTGTCCTGCTATCGGCCAAGGTTACCCACCAGACTGAGACAATTCATCTCATCTCTGAGCAGCTGGATCATGTAGTGGAAAAACTACACACTTTTGGAGTGTGAATCGCAAGTACAATTCCCCCCTGGTGTGCAGTAAGTGTCCTGGCACTAAAACATCTACCAAAATCAGCATGTTGGAGATACTGTGAGGATTTCTGTAGTTTGGAAGCTGCAGTAACACATGCCTTTTTGGTTCATTTACAAGTAACAGAAGCTGTTGACCCAGGGTGCTTTTTAGTGAAAGCAGGTGGATTAAACATATACATGAATGCTTTGCAGACAGAGTGCAGGACTGACACTGAATCACAAAGAATGAAAGAAAAAAAAACTGTAAGCCAATGATCTCTCTCATATTCTCACTCTGATTGGCTGCTGTAGAAAGAAGTGTTCAACCTCTGTTATGTGTAGAGTGGAGCAGACCTGATATAAATCAAACATATGTCCTTTTGTACCAGGATGGGCACTTTGATCCAGCCAGCCAGCATCCATCATTCAAGAACCGGGTGGATCTGCAGGACAGACAGATGAAGGATGGAGACGTGTCTTTGATTCTGAAGGATGTGACAACTAATGACACTGGAACATATGAGTGTCATGTCAGAGGACAAAAGTCAAAGAACAGAGCTCATCTAAGTGGTAACTCCATCAGCATCATCTACCTGAGAGTTGATCCTCCAGGTGAGTGAGCAGAGTTGAGTGTGTGTGTGATCAGAGGTGAAGCTGCTTCCTGGTTGTTGATGTTTGTTTCTAAAGATGTTGTTCAGTTAAACAGATTGAGCCCTGGTACTCAATCGATTTTAAAGCTGTTGCTCTGACGATACTCTGAATATCTATCTGTACTGAGATCTGTGGCTGTACCTGAGTTTGACCTTTGACACCAAAGATGTCAAAGAGGAAGAAACGTTCTTTTAATCTTGTTATTAGAGTTTCCAGCATTTGTAACTTTTATTCAGCTCTCCTTTAATGTTTGTTAAACCAGCAGAGACTGAAACTAACTACAGCTCAAGCCCAGACATGACTGTGCCTGTAGGCACCAGTGAAATGTGCACTTTTATTTCTAATGAAGTCATATCACTTTAATTTCCCTGCAGGCATTTGGATCAGTTAGTCTCCCTTCTTTTTATGTACAGTAGGCCATGTAAACCCTGTTCATTTTGCTAGGTAACCAGTTAACCTGATATGGGCAAATAATCCCCTAAACCATCTCAGCATGGGTTATATTGTGAAGATCTACTCAAAGAATCAGACGTGCTGATGATGTTTTGTCTCCAGATTATTAAACTGTCACTGTTTAGGATTTGAGAAAGCACAAAAAACTGATTTTGAATGTTTTCTTTTTTAAATCACATTTTGGGGGCAAAACTGTACATGATAGAATATTTTATTAGTACTTTCTGGACATCACTGAATGGGCTTAGGTTAGTTATGTTTTGGAAAGCAGCTGAATTGTTATTTCTCAATGCAGGGTATGTAATAAAACCTAACATACGCTCATTGATGTTCCTGCCATGGTCCTGGGTCATTGTGACCCAACAGTTTAAGTGTCCTGCGTTTTCTGTCATATTTTGCATTATGTTGAGGTTTCCTAGGATATTCTGTTCAGTATTGTTTATTAGATTTCTCCTCTGTGTCTCCCTCTGTGCGACTGTGTACATGGTGATGTGAGTGGTGATTGTGCTTTGCTCCTCTTTCAATCGTGTTCTCGCTCTCTCTGCTGTCTCTGTGTACTGTCTGTGTTATGTTTAAGATCCGTGTCTTGGTGTCAGCATTTTCAGTTTCGTGTCCCCACTCTGTCATGTGTAATTGTCCTCAGCTGTGTTCCCCGTGTGCTTCCACTTCCCTCGTTACTTTCTGTGTATTTATGATATATGTAAAACAGGAGCAGAACTGGGTCCTCGGTCAAGCCCACATTCCTAGTTACTGCTGTTATTTCACTGTTATTTAACTTTCATGCTCGGACATGCATCTCTCCTGCCTTCCCACTAACTGATTTTCCACTGCACACACCCTCAACCTCAAATCAAACAAAGACTGTTAAAAGCAGTTACCTGATATCTACAGTTTCAGATTTTGTTCCTGAAAACATCAGCATCCTTGGATTTTTAACAGCTGGAGTTTGAACTGGATAAAGGAGAAAATGACTGCAGCGAGTGAGTCGCTCTGCTGTACTCTGCTGCTTTTTGTCTGTGTGTTTGCAGGTAAGTACAAAATAACAGCAGTTCACTTATAACACTTTTAAAAAAACTACCACTAATAACTATTGATTGACTGATTGATTGTGTTTAAGTAGGAAGTAAGAGGCTTGGTGGAAATGGAGTAGACTATATTTTAAAACAAATAACAGATTCTGTGAACCTGATGTTTACTGAGCATTGAGTGAACATATGGTTACATTGTAACCTTTGTTCTCTGAGTGAGAGACTCTATTTCCATGCTGTTACATTCTATATGTACGGGGTATGACCTTGGTCGTGGCATGTGGATATTTCTTTAAGACACTCTTACACTCCACAGCTTACGTATAAAAAACAGCTGTGCAAACACTGGTGATAGTTTAATCAGGATGCATCTCCAAGCAGCCTGAAGAGAGAGTCTCTCACTCAGAGAGCCAAGGTTACAATGTAACTGTACGTTCTCTATCATATCGAGACTATCTCTCCACTCCGTCACATATTCTATATGTACAGGGTAACTATGTAAGACAGACACCCTGCAAGGAGACAGTGCACCCGAATCACAGAATGAAAGTACCAATGAACTATTTACAAATATACATATATACACGCCACCCCGGTCAGGGCTTCGCCAGACACAAAGGCCGAGCCGGGGGGCGGAGGCATCAGTCTGCCAGACGCAAGACTAGCCTAAGCAAGTCCCGTAGGACGCAAGGACTGTAACTGAGTGACCACTTCAGGTCAGCCCACCACTGCTGCGGAATGGATTGCCAAGTAAGGGATGCGGGATGGCCGAGGTAGAGACGCAGCCCCAGTTCTGTCCCCAGAGTCAAGCAGCCGACTCACGACATCCGAAGACTGGGGATGAGCTGGTGGCTTAGTCCACTAAGAGTGAAGGATCCAAGCGGGGCTGTGATCCAAAGGTCCATCAGCAGGGCGTAGCAGCCACTTCGTGCCGTCTACAGACAGGGGAGCAGCAAGAGTGAACTCGAACGAGACACTCGTGGACAGTCAGGAAGTTTCAGCTCACTGAGCGGCCCCCCGCTGGCTGTGTAAACCAGCGACACACGGGCAATACACCAGACAGGGAACCAACGCCTCAGGCTGGAGAGCTCACCTGCCTGCCAATGTACCAGACACAGCAAGGTCTGACTGGCATGTAAACGGGCAAACCGCAGGCAATACTCCAGGGGAACACAGCCTGCAGCAGCAGCGCGGCCGCTGAAGTAGAGGGCTGAGCTATGGATGTGAACCCACGGTCCATCCGCAGCACCCAGCAGCTGCTCCATGCTGTTCGCAGCAGCAAGAGTAAACCGAATAAGACACTGGTGCAGCCAGGAAGCTCAGCTCACTGAGGGGGCCCATGCTGGGTCAGCAAACCAGCGACCCACAGGCAATACACTGGAGAAGGAGCTAGCGCTGCAGGCTGGAGAACTCACGCTTGCCGGCTGACGTATCAGACTGCTTTGACACCCGACACCCTCCCCAGGAGGGAGCACGTTAGAGGCAAATCACAAAGGGCTTCTGCAGTCTGTGCTGGCAAGATAAGCAGTTCATTCAGGATTCAGGGGTTTCTCAGGATTCAAGGGCCACATGCTAACCCAGAAACAATTACTATCAGGTAAGCTGGCACGAGCCAACAGCTAAATCTCCCCTTCACTGTTTATTCCCACAGTGTGTTTGGTATAGCTTCTCTGCTTTCATGTATTTGCTTATCAGCTTTAATGTTGTGTAGCACTTGAACATTAAGCAATGTAGCCCTGGAACCACTAGCCTCTGGGTCTGTCTGACAATATGTCAGACAGTAGTGATGGGATTTCCGGCTCTTTTTAGAGAATTGACTCTTTTGGCTTGGCTCACTAAAAAGAGCCGGCTCTTTCGGCTCCCAACCAGCTCTTCAGGTTGTCTTGTTGCTAATTAACTTATTATTAACAACAATATAAAATTATGCACAAAAGGAATTACTAATGTAAAAGAAAAAAAACTTGTGGTTTTATTTATGTATTTATATATAAAAATATATACGGTGGCCCCTTGAGACAAAGTATGTACAAATTCCAAATTCTGGTGGACTAAACATATACATGTCAACTGTGGAGATCTTCAAGTTCCTGGGTACCACCATCTCCCAGGACCTGAAGTGAGAGACCAACATCAACTCCATCCTCAAAAAGACCCAGCAGAGGATGCACTTCCTGAGACAACTGGGGAAGTACAGTCTTCCACAGGAGCTGCTGATCCAGTTCTACACTGCGGTCATTGAGTCTGTCCTGTGCTCCTCCATCACAGTCTGGTATGGAGCAGCCACTAAACAGGACAGGAGCAGACTGCAGCGGACTGTACGGGCAGCAGAAAGGATCATCGGCGCCCCCCTGCCCTCCATCCAGGATCTGTACCTCTCAATAACCAGGAAACGGGCAGGGAAAATCATCACAGACCCCTCACACCCTCTGACACAGACTTTTTGACCTGCTGCCCTCTGGCAGACGGTACAGAAGCCTGCAGACCAGGACCACCCGACACAGGAACAGTTTCTTTCCGCTCGCCATCTCCCTTCTTAACAGTTGACCTGTCACACTGCTCCCACTGCCAGACTGCAGCTGCACCTTATCTACATTCTGTAGTATTCATTCCACCTCATTTATGTATTTTATGTTTATAAGTTTAGATTGGTTATTTATAGCTGGTTTACACAGCTATGTGTGTGTGTGTGTGTGTGTGTGTGTGTGTGTGTGTGTGTGTGTGTGTGTGTGTGTGTGTGTGTGTGTGTGTGTTTGTTTTACATTGCTGTGCTTGAGAGCCTCTACCAGAACCAAATTCCTTGTATGTGTCTGCACATATACTTGGCCAATAAACACAATTCTGATGAATGCTTTGCAGACAAAGTGCTGGACTGAAACTGAATCACAAAGAAGGAAAGAAAAAAAAACTGTAGGCCAATGATCTCTTTCTGATCTCACTCTGATTGGCTGCCTTAGAAGAGAAAATTTCAGTCTCTCTGCTCTGTGTTGTTTCCTCTTTCAGATGAGAAAAGCATCACAGCTGAGTCTGGACAGAACGTCACTCTGCCATGTCGAGCTTTAAACACCATCATAGGTGTAGAGTGGAGCAAACCTGATCTAAATGAAGAATATGTCCTTTTGCACCGGGATGGGCACTTTGATCCAGCCAGCCAGCATCCATCATTCAAGAACCGGGTGGATCTGCAGGACAGACAGATGAAGGATGGAGACGTGTCTTTGATTCTGAAAGATGTGACGACTAATGACACTGGAACATACGAGTGTCGCATCAGGGAGTCAAAGAGCAGAGGTATTCTCGAAGGTGGCCCCAGCAACATCATCTACCTTCATGTTGTTCCTCCAGGTGAGTGAGCAGAGTTGAGTGTGTGTGTGATCAGAGGTGAAGCTGCTTCCTAGTTGTTGATGTTTGTTTCTAAAGATGTTGTTGATGAGACTTTGTAGAAAGCAGCTGGTCTGAGTGATGTGATCAGAGTGCAGTAGATAATGTCTGACAGCAGTTTGAAGAGGAAATGGATTCTGTTCTGTTCTTCACTCATCACCTACCTGACAGCTGACACCTCACACCTGTTTCTCTCCTGCAGGTCAGACAAGAGGAGACACAGAGGATGAGTCTGTTGGATTGATAGTCGGACTGTCATTTATAGGTGTGCTTCTTGCTGCTGCTGTTGTTGGTTTTTTGATCTACAGAAAACAAACAGAAGTAGCCTCCACTGGAAGAGCATCCTGATTAAACTGAGCTTTTCTAGCTGATCTCTGTGTCTCCTGCTGATGTCACAACTTCTCAGTTTTATATAATCGGAAGGGTCAGCGTGGGAGATAAATGCTCCATTTGGACTCATAGTCGCTCATTCAATTTCTGCTGTGCTTCTTGTTGGTGGGTTTTGACCTACAGAAAACATGAAGACAAGTAGCATTTTATTTTTATTGCGTACTAAAAACAACAGTTAAATATATCGAATAATGCTGTGAGAAGCCTTGGATTTTTTTCTTCGTATTTCATCTGACATTAATTTTGTTTTGAAGGCCTGGGCTTGGTTTCATCCTGATAAAAAAGTTCTCCTTATTCTTTTTTTTGTTTGTTTGTTTTGTTTTTTCCCCCTTCCATTAATCTTGTAATCAAGCTCACTTCTCTCCTGGTTGTACAAAAAAGAAACTGGATAAGACCACTCTGAACTAAGAACAGACTTTAAAGCATGTCATAACATAAGGCCCACAGGCCTGAATCACCCGAGTAATGACTCCAATCCGGCCATCCTGAATGTCTTTGACAAATGTGAATGACAGGACAGATTTTTAGACTAACCTGTTTTTGGTTTTTTTAAACAAGTTTTACAGTTTCTGTGTTGATTAAAAGCTTCTGCATTGCCATTCATACTACACCAAAGAGAAGTCCCTGTTTTTCCCACCAACCCAAGTGGATCAGATGAGTGAAACTCCACTTTTTGTTAGCGTAAATAAGTTTCACTATACATTTAATCCCTGATAGATCTTAAAATAAAAAAGAGGTTTCCAACACAAATCTGTAAAAAAACAACTCCCAAAAGTTGATTCTGTTCATCTGGACATAACGTTTTCAGTAGACTTCTTCAGTCTCAGCTGACTGCAGATTTCCCCAGTCTTATAAACAGTACATTTGCACAATGACTGAAACCAGCCAACTGATCCTTCAGTGGAAGGTCAGTTCCTTCATCATAATTATGCAAATTCTAATGACCATTGATCAATAACCAATTCAATTCTATTTTATTTATATAGCGCCAAATCTCCAAAAAAAGCCGACTGTTGATCAACAACCACTGATCAATGGCCATGAGTACCATTCACAGAGAGTTGGGGAATGGCTGCAATCACAGCATTGTAAGATGGTGACAGATGAAGCCTTAGTCCCCCTCCTTGATTCAGAGATGGTCTTTCCCTTTTCACGTAAATGGCCTCCTTGACTCCGCGCTCAAACCAGTCACTCACTACCTGTCCAGGATGTGTACATAATCATCCTTGAAAGAGTGGTTGTTGATCAATGATCACGAGAATTTGCCTAATTATGATGAAGAAACTGACCTCCCAGCCCATTGTTCCTTCAGTGGGCTGGTTTCAGTCATTATGCAAATGTACTGTTTATAAGATTTGGGGAAACCTGCAGTCAGCTGAGACCGAAGAAGTCACTTGGATGAGTGATGAAACGCTTTTCGCACAAAACGCTACGTCCAGATGAACAGAATCAACTTTTGGGGATTTACTTGCCAGGATGATTGAGCATGTATCAAGAAATAAAAGGATAACATTTTTTTTTTTGTTTGATGCAGATGATTTACTATAGCCTTTAACAAATAAGGGTTAAAGGGTAAACTGAAGTGTGAAGTCTGCTTAGCTTTAATTCACCATTCGGACAAGGAACTGTGATTAAAAACACCCACAGGAAGCTCTTATTACTGCTTGAAGAGTAACACTGTAAAACTGGAGGATTGTTAAAGTTGGTGTGTGTTCGGTTGACAGTAAAAACAAAGGTTCACAAAAGAGATATCGTAAATATGAACTCATATTAGTTGACATATATAATGTAATGTGTACTTTTGTTGAAAAATGTAATTAAATTATTATTTTTCATGTTGCATTAATGTTTGTGTCATTTTATTTAGGGAATCACAATCTGTACGTTACTAATAAGCTAGTTAGCCTTGGGGTCTATTGGTATTGGCTCCATCCTCCACTAGGGGGCATCTTCATGCTCTCTCCTCATTCCATTAAACTCCTGCAAGAGAGAAGAAACTGAAAATCACTCTGGTGTCCCCCCTTTTTCTTTTTTCGGGTAATGGTGGTAATAAGTTCACTGACATTTGTGATGAGTCTGCTTCTGGGTCCTGTATCTGTGAGAACTTTGGTTCACGACAACTACTTCTGTTATTTCACCTTCATGCTCAGACATGTGTCTCTCCCTCCTCTCAGTTTCCCACTATCTAGTCTCATTGCACTGCACACACTCTCAACCTCAAATCAAAGGAAGACTGTTAAATAAATAAAGTAAATAATCCTGTGAGACGTCGTCTTTTTTTGCTGAATCTTTATCAGACATTGATTCTGTTTTGAAGCTCCAGGCCTGGCTTTATTCTGATAAAAATAGATAATCTTATTTATTTTTTTGTTTTGATTTTTTCTTCCATTAATCATGTATTGTAGCTTCTGTCGTGGTTGTTCAAAAAAAGGTACTGCATAGGATCACAGCTTTGAAAAAATATAAATTATTAGAGGATTCAATGGAAACAGTTTGATGTGTGATTGTAATCCAACTTGTTATCACCCTGCATGGGGGGACATTTGACACTCAGGACTTGACATGATTTTAAACACTGTCTACTAACATTTGCAGGTCTTTGTCCCGTCTTCCTCCCCTCAACCACATCCAGTTGCAGCAGATGGCCGCCCCTCCCTGAGCCTGGTTCTCTACCATAGACAGACAAACAAGCTTTTGCACTAACATTCACAGCTGTGTGCCAATTATATTCACCGATTAAACTAATCCCACGAACTGCACGTCTCTGGAAAGTGGCAGGTTGTCATTTATCACCAGTTGATGGCAGGAAGTTTCAACTGTTATCATTAACTGAAGTTTTTTAACAAAAGTGCATGAAGGATGAGAGACAACATGGGATTGTTCAGACATTGTTCAGCTCTCACCCCAAATGCCTCCCTGTGTCATGATCCTGGGTCTTTTGACCCAGCGTTTTAAGTTTGAGTTTATTTTGTTCATTAGGTTATCTATTTGTTATTAGATTCCCCTTGTGTATCCAACCCCGTTAAGTCTCCCTTGTCCTTCATGTGCTTCATGTCTGTGTTTCTTATGTTGTCATGTTTGCATTTCATTATGTTTCCCATTTTATTTTGAAAGAGGTCCTGTATTCCTGCATTTTGTTTTACTCTTCCCCTGTGGCATTGTTATGTTCATGTTGTGTCTACTGTGCCTTTCTGCCCCATGTTTCAGGTCCCTATGTTCTGTCTCCCCAGTCTGTTAAGTTTACATGTCTTGAGTCCCGTCAGTGTGTTTCCTGTTTTACTTTCACAGTCTGTCCTATGTTAATGTTTCTAGTTTTGCTTCCCTTGTCTCGTCCAGCCTAATTACTCCCAGCTGTGCTCTCCTCCTGTGGCTCATTCCCCCTCATTATCCCTCAGTGTATTTAAGCCCCATGTTTCTTTGTCAGGGTGGTGTCCTCCCTCATAGCTGTGTGATTTTTCCCTGTGGCTTCTCGTGCTTTAGTTTTCCCAGTTTAGTTTTTGCCACTCCATGCCAGCAATAAAGCTGTGTTTTTTGAGTGTACTTTTTGTCTCTGAGTTTCCGTCTGGGTCCTACTCTTGCCTGCACACAGCCGTATTGTGACACCCTGGAATATATAAAATTTCAAATGTATGCTAATGGAAATTGGCTTATGTGTAATTTATAGTATTTTATATATTGGATGGTTTTAATGTGAAAGTTGCCCCTAACCTCCTCCCACATACCAGTCTATACATTTCTGAAGTTTCCACACTGGTTGATGTTCCTACTGTGTATAGTCTGCGGCTGCAGATACTATTTGTTTTTGTTCTTTATCTGTTCCAAAGGCAGATGCATGTTGATTAGCCACAACAACTCACATTTTCCATCAGACATCTTCATGAAAAAACCACAAAAGGAAGAAGTGAAAGCAAAGTTTCTCCTGCATAGACAGCCAGAGCTCTTCAGGATGCTACATGCAAAGCACGAGGTTTGCTGAGACAAAGCTGACTAAAAGATAAAGATTATAAAGTTTTATTTGATTTTTTTTTACTACCTATTACAAAATGTATTGTCATGAAAAATTTGTCTTGTATTATGAGTGTTATGAACCGGCTTATGAAGGTAAGTGGATTAAAAACGAACACACACAGAAAATTAAGAAGAAAATGCTCTCTGGTTTGATTGGCAGAGCCGGCGAAGACCACATGGACCCCAATGGTTGGACTGGTGGATTACTTCACTGTGGAGTAGATGACATTTGGCTCTGGCTGAAACTCTGAACACACACAGAAAACAGAAAGAGGTCAACAACTGGAGAAAAATAACCAACTCTGCAGAAAAGCTCTCTTAAAATTATATTTATGTCCAGTTATTTTAGAATAGAATAGAATAGAATTCAACTTTATTGTCATTGCACATCCACAGGTACAGGGCAACGAAATGCAGTTTGCATCCATCCAGAAGTGCTTTAGTGATATAGGTATATTACAATATATATTAGCAATAATATAGATATGTAAGTATATTACAGAAATGGGTCTATTATGGTATGTTATAATGTACACGGTATGAAGTATGTTGTGAATATTCTATACCTATAAGT